TTCAATTTCTACTTAAGAYTTCTTCTATACCAAAGGATTGAGGAATTTGATTGTGCTCCCATTTTTAATAATCTTCCTCTAATCTTGACTCCTTGCTATTTGTAGTTAGATTCTTATGAAAGTTGATATCCCAACTGACTCAATTATTCAAGTCAACTCAACCAAATGTCTTTATGAGGGCCCTAAGGCATACTATTTTGTTTAGGCTTATATATTTGATTCATCAGATTTGTTTCATGATTATGCTTAAGAGTCATCTACCTTTTGCAATAGTCATTATATTTTTCCAATAAATATTATCTCGACTACTATCTCTATAATAACGTCTTAAGGAATTTGTTTTCTTTCTTCTCGAATTCACCTTTACTCCCTACCTACCACTACTCCTAATCCTCCTAGATTTTCAAACACATTGTCTGTAGATTTCTCTCATTTGATCCTATATCATCAATTGTAAGGGGTTGCTCTTCAGTAAGACATCTCTTTAAGAGAGTAAAAATCCTTATTTGTTTCTCTGTAGCACAAGTATCCTCTTTCTTGATTTGTGAGGTGCAACAATCTCTTGTAGTATTAGCAATGTATTACCTAAGATATTGAAGACAGTGTGCCAAAGAGCTTGCTATACTGCCTGTTGTATCAAAAAGGTGAACAAAGGTTTCAATTTCTACTTAAGATTTCTTCTATACCAAAGGATTGAGGAATTTGATTGTGCTCCCATTTTTAATAATCTTCCTCTAATCTTGACTCCTTGCTATTTGTAGTTAGATTCTTATGAAAGTTGATATCCCAAYTGACTCAATTATTCAAGTCAACTCAACCAAATGTCTTTATGAGGGCCCTAAGGCATACTATTTTGTTTAGGCTTATATATTTGATTCATCAGATTTGTTTCATGATTATGCTTAAGAGTCACCTACCTTTTGCAATAGTCATTATATTTTTCCAATAAATATTATCTCGACTACTATCTCTATAATAACGTCTTAAGGAATTTGTTTTCTTCCTTCTCGAATTCACCTTTACTCCCTACCTACCACTACTCCTAATCCCATACAGGTCATGGCAATGGTGCCTCCTAGCCATGGAACAGGTATGTGCGGAGGGCGCAGAGATCACCGAGCAAGTCAAGCAGCAGATCCAGTTAGAAGTGACAAGTGGATGGCTTTCTTAAAAAGCCCAACTGGATTTGTATCAACAGACACAAAGTTCTGCAAGGAATGGTCGGGAGGGGATGGGGGGGGATGGGTAGCAGAAGTAAAATGGAGTGGGGATAATCCGGATGGGGATTAGAATTTGGAGGGTATAAGGGATTACTGTTTGGTGTTCAAGGACTGGACTAACATCGAACCTTCCTTCCCACTTCGTCCCCCGACAGATTTTCCCAGCCCCTTCCCTCCTCACTCCCTCTCCCTAACAGAAAATTTGTTGTACGGACAATAAGGTCGTGCCCCGGTGCCCAGACCCCTATTCACAAAATGTCAGATTTTCTATTAACTGCTCAGTCAATCCCCTGGCAGGTCGATATAGCCAAGCTCATTTTCCGGATATATAACGGAAGTGTAATGGGACGGATGAACATCTCCTGCAATCTGAGTCCGGTATAGAGAAGGGTGGAGAGACGCGTGGTCCCACTGGTGCCCCCCAGTGGGCCCACCACGTCTCCACGCCAGGGATGCGAGAACTGGTTTCCAGCGGTGGGAGACTGATACACCATAGATGCCCTTCATAACTGGAGTAGAGAAGATCGACATCAGCAGCGCCCTTCAACTCAGCAACCTGCTCAGTTAATCCTCTGGAATCCAGAGTAATCAATGCTGGCAGGCTTTTCCCAGATACTTTCTTTGCAAAGTTCTCTGTTTTTTTCTGATTCATTCTGTGCAAGGGACGCTGAACCCGTTTTCCAGCAGGTGATGCTCCCCACCAATATATGGAGTCTCTCCCCAGGTGATAGCGGTGTCTGCTCTTATCAGCACCACTAGCACTAGAGGGAATGTTTTTTTTTTTGCTTCGATCCTGTTGATCTGCGGTCGGAAATGTGAAGATTGAGACAAGTGCGGAGTCACCCCAGGGGAGCCCCACAATTTGAGATCTGCGCTGCTGTGTCCGTATGCTTCCGAAGAAAGCAAAAGATGAGCATGCACTAAGGGTGTGTACAATTTCAGGTCCACAGGTACTCAGCCCAAATAACTGAATGCTACAGACAAGTCACTGACGATGAACAGGTCATAAGTTTGTGTCCTGCCATTCAGATGGATACAAATTTAGCTCTGCACTGCTGAGTTTCGCAGACTTGGGGCGTCGCCGGGACACGAAACGAAAAACGAAACGAGTGCATCTTCCTGCAGAACATGGCCAGGTTCATCGGTTTGCTATAAAGAGTAACGAGTGTATTTTGCCACCT